ACAGTTTATAGCTATAGCATGACATACAAACTTAAAAATAAACAAAAACAAGTTCTAGAAGGCTACAGAAAGTCATAGTACTACTATACTTACATATAATTTTAGAAATTTTTTGTTGGGGTGACATTTTGAAAAAAAAAAAACTGAATTAAACACTTCACTATTTTTAAACAAAAGTTCAAAGACAAGAAATCAATTATTTTACAAAATGTTAATATCCTAATATTACATATATCTCATTCCTTTACAGCTATATATATATATATATATATATATATATATATATATATATATATATATATATATATATATGTATAGACGATGTTCTTTCTCAGACAAAATGATTGTTAGTGATGAAGATAGCTTTGTTGAAAGTTTACAAATTGTTAGGCAAAACAAGTTAGTAATGATTGCCAGTTAATTATCATGCCTCTTTGAAACAATTTGTCAAACAATTCCTGTTCATTTGCATGCATGACAAAACAGAAAAACTGCACACATATTGACAAACCTTTGTTCTTTTTCCACCTGGTGGCTCTGAACTTGCTCTCTCATTTTCCTTCCAGAGTTGTCTGTGTCTTTCATCGGAAGGCAACTAAAGAGAGAATATTTGCAATCAAAAGCTGTGTGAAGACTGACAAAATAAGTACAATGTAGTACCTGAAAGTTCTCAGGCTAGGCCATATACATACATATATATATATATATATATATAAATATATATATATATATATACATACACACACACAGATATTCAGTTGCATGGACATTAGTTTCTGTCTATATTTCTGAGATGAGGTATTATGTACGCTATTTACATTATTCGGACTATCTTTGTCGCCATATTTATTACAATGTTTCAGCCGTTGTACGGTCAGGCCTTCTTCAGGTGGTTGGAATGTCAAACTGAACCCTTTATTTTGCTCACTGGGGTAGACTGTTCTAGTTCCACATGCCATGTCTAATAGATGTCAGTTATCAGTTATTTCCTGTTAATTCACCTCTCCAAGTTCTCCACTGCCTTAACCAGGCATTGAAATATAAAGGGGAGACAGGCCGCCCCCTTAAGATAAGGCTTCAAGTACACCAGAAAGCTGTAACACGACGGAAATCAGGCGTGGCTGACCACATATGTGGAGAAAAGGGAGATCACCGCCCTCTGTGGGATCAGATTGAAATTATAGACAAAGAACATCATTGGAAAATGTGTAAAGTTAAGGAATCAGCACATATGCTAGGCCACAAAAATCTCCTGAGCTGACTAAGCATAGAAATGAATACAATATGGGAACCAGTAATAATAACAACAAAAATTGCAATATGAGCTCTGGTAAAAAACGTGCAATGATAACAGCAAAAATTCTGATATGAGCACTGGTAAAAATGGTTGCTGAAGACATTAGGTTTATAATACCCAGAAATTCATACACAGATATCCTCAGGGACACATGGCACAGTGGATAACGGGGTTGTTAGATCCAGTAACAGGACCTAAAGAGTGTGAGTTCAATACCTGGTTATGGCGGTGAAGAACTTGGAGAGGGGAATTAACAGGAGATAACAGATATCCATTAGACATGGCACGTAGAACTAGAACAGTCTCCCCCAGTGAGCGAAATATTATATTCATTTAATGCAAAGTTTGGAAAGAACAGCAGATTTCATGATTTATTCAGCACAATTTGATTCAGACAATTTTAATTACTCTAGAATATCTATTTCTTTTAATTTTTAAATGAAAAAAATAATTAAACAAGAACATTTCCTTCATTTAAAATCTAACATTCTTTACAGTCTAACATTTCATAAAATTAATTTTATGTATATACCTTGAATTTTTTGTAGGGATAAAGAATGAAACCCCAGCTTTTCAGTCCTCAATTTGGGAAAAAAACAATGATTCACTGTTTTTCAAAAACGAGTAGTAACGTGTCCTTTAAAACACCCTATGATATAGTATAAATGAATACATCCTGTTTGAATCTGAGTCCCTTTTTGATAAATTGGCTTCTCCAGACACAGGAGTTTCCTCTCCATATTATATGGAAGAATACATCCTTTTCGTTTTTCTTCAAAATGTGTAGGTATACATGATATTTTTTTCTCCGTGTGACACACTTCTTTGTCATTATATATATATATATATATATATATATATATATATATATATAATATATATTAAAAAAAAGACCACTTTAAGGTCCCATTACAATAATTTATTTCACCAAAATCCTTTTAAAGGACTTTGGATCATCAGGTAACAATTCCAACAACGAAATGAAAGGAAAAATTGGATTAGAAATTGATGGGTAGTGTAATTTTTGTAATTTAACAGTGGGTGAGAGTTGTAGTTAAAGAGACAAGGTAGAGTATAGGGAGGGGTTAATTTCATATCTCTCTTAAGCATGCTTTATATTGGGGTAGGAGGAGTGACCGAACCTTGACGTATTTAGATGGTTAACTTAACAGAAATTATATATAGGAATGGGAGGGGAGTGGAGAGAGAAGAAACGGAAAAATGGAAAAGAGAAAGGGGACAGACGACAGTAATACAGATATATCCAAATGAGTGTTACGGCAAAGAGAGAGAGAGAGGGAAGTGAATCGAAAGAGGCTGTAATTTTGTTTTAACAAAAAATTATGTAAAAGATCAATGTTTGATAGAAATTTAGATGTTTAAAATAATGATGAATGTTATCAATTTAAACATTTAATTTTTTAAGTAAATAGTTTAGGGACTTAATATAAGTTAACTAATATTTTTATTAGCACATTTATCGAGAACATATTAAAGAAATATTTAAAATTATAATAGTTTATTTACCCGACCAATTGTAAATATTAGCTCTGTATTCACATTGAGCTCTCAGGATTTCATCTTCCTTGGAATTACCCATTCGGTTTACCAAGTTCTTCGTAACTAATATATATATATATATATATATATATATATATATATATATATATAAGTTAGATTTGTGTATGTCTTGGTAATATAAAAGTCTCTCCGTGAACAAAGAATGTCATTCCTTTTCCTTTCAATCTGTTCCGTCCGTGATGTACAGTGTTATTATATCGCAGACATAATAATGCCCATAACGGTGGAAATACAAACTACCGTTACATTGGCATTAATTTTACACTCCCCCCTCCAGAAAATTTACCTGCATACAGTTCAACCGGTTACCGAAAATACATGATTTTTAACCTCTTCAAAAAAATTACCTGTACATGTTGTAACCCCCATTTTTGCGTAAAAAACTGAAACACTCGTAAAGAGAAGACAATATATGCGACTATCTCAACCATATGGCAGGCTGTATATGGTATACAGTCTTGAGATTAACGTTTTTTTAAGCATTTCACCCAAAGCAAGGTGGGCTGCTACTAGTATGCAAGGGGTTACACAGAGTGGTTGCGAGAGTAAAGAGGCGTGATAGAGGAAAGGATGAAGAGAAGGACGGGGAATACATCAACGCATCCGGAGGTGTCGACTGACATTACATTTGAATATTTGGAGATTATAGCTATCAGGGAAACAAGTAAAAGGAAGGGAATTCCACAGACGAGATGTGCGGGGCATGAAGCTATTGGAGTAGAAGAGACGGCTACATTTAACTGTTTCAACAGTGAAAGGGTCGGACCGGGATGCCAGCCTTAGTAGCACGTTTAAATTCATGCAGTCTGGGAACTAGCAAAAGTAGCTCGCCGAGGCATTTACCGTGAAAGTATTTGTAGAAAAGACAGCGGGAAGCGACAACATCTGTGAGAGCGACTGTAGACGAGATGCCAGATCAGGGACAATAACATTGCTAGTACTAAATACAGGATATAAGAATAGTGTAAAGAACAGCTCAGAACTTCATTAAATAATTTATTCAGATTGACACCAAAACTTGATCCATTCGTCATTTTTAAGTAGATAAACGCTATGACTCCCAAATTCTTGCAGTGGATCGATATTTGATTAAATATTTGGAATTGGTTTACTTTCTTCTACTTTTTAATCTGAAAGAGATCCAAGACAATACGTAAATGGTAATGAATGCAGGGAAAGAACTGTTCTGAAGTGACTGATGAGATATTTTATCAACATCACACACACACACACACAACACATCCCCAGTGGTTAACAAACCATTTGTTTATTTCCATTATTCAGACTGTTATCCTCATCTTCGTTTCCATATTCACAACGTTTCTGCCGTTGTACGCTTTTGCCTTACTCAGGTAACTGGAATTTCGAACCAAACCCATTATTTCGTCCACTGGGGTAGATTCTTCTAGTTCCACGTGCCATACCTCTTCCTGGTGTCTCAGTTATTTCCCTCTAACTCAACTCTCCAAGTTTATGGCCAGGTATTGAACTCACAACTCTTTGGGTCTAGCCACTGGATCTAACCAATGTTTTCATCCACTGGGCCACGTGTCCTTGAAGACATCTGTGTATGAATTTTTGAAACTTATTATTTTGTTACATTGCTTTTCTCTACACTCCTTATTACTGCTTCCCATATTGTATTCATATCTATGCTTGGTCGGTTCCGGAGATTTTTGTGGCCTAGCTGACAAGTTTTCCTATTTTCTACTGAGAACAACAGCAATGAAGATGTGGTTTTATCTCCCGATCAGAGGCCTTCTTCTCGGATGTCATACCCAGAACTTATTTGTAATACTGTTCATCTGCATATCTAATGCTGGTAAGATTGTGGCCACCAATAAGGAAGGTTGAATAGATCTGGTGAGAAAACAAACAACTTTGTCTTACGCCCCTTTCTATTTTTCTATAGTGAATTCATTTTCTCCCCATACGCAGGCGATTTGCTGCCAGCTTAAGTTCTAGATTATTCAATTAGCCATTGCAAGTATATCAAGCAGTAACGAAAGTACTTTCTGATGTACTTTATCAAATACTTGTAATTTGTATTGCTCTTTCTGATACAATTTTGAGCAAAAATATCAGAGAAAATGGTGAGGTCAATGCTGCAGATTTTGTAGGGTTAAATCTCCAAAACATTAAGAAAGATAAAAGAAAAGGACAAAACCGAAAGAAAGGAGGCAAAGGAAAGAAAGAAAGGGAAACAGAAAGAGAGAGAGAGAAAGAGGAGGAAGGATGGAAAGAAAAAAAGGCAAATAGAAAGAAAGAAAGAAAGAAAGAAAGACCGAAAAAGAGAGAGAGAAAGAAGAGGAGGAAGGATGGAAAGAAAGGCAAACCGAAAGAAAGAAAGAAAGAAAGGCAAAAAGAAAGAAAGAAAGAAAGGCAAACCGAAAGAAAATAAAGGCAAAAAAAAGAAAGAAAGGCAAACCTTTTGAAAGAAAGAAAGGCAAACCGAAAGAAAGAAAGGCAAACCGAAAGAAAGAAAGAAAGAAAGGCAAACCGAAAGAAAGAAAGAAAGAAAGGCAAACCGAAAGAAAGAAAGAAAGAAAGGCAAACCGAAAGAAAGAAAGAAAGAAAGAAAGAAAGAAATGCAAACCGAAAGAAAGAAAGAAAGAAAGGCAAACCGAAAGAAAGAAAGAAAAGAAAAGGCAAACCAAAGAAAGAAAGAAAAAAAAAATGCAAACTGAAAGAAAGAAAGAAAGAAAGAAATGCAAACCGAAAGAAAAAAAAGAAAGAAAAAAAAGGCAAACTCCAAGAAAGAAAGAAAGAAAAAGAAATGCAAACCGAAAGAAAGAAAGAAAGAAAGAAAGAAAGAAATGCAAACCGAAAGAAAGAAAGAAAGAAAGAAAGAAAGAAAGAAAGGCAAACCGAAAGAAAAAAAGAGAGAGAGACAAAGAAGATGAGGAAGGATGGAAAGAAAAGGACAAAAAGAAAGAAAAGTATCATTTTTAGATAGTGGTCCGTCATCCTTCCAGCAGCTCAAAGTGACCTTGCCGGTCAAATTCTATGTATATCATGCGAGTATATCCGATGCCAATTGAAATAAATATCAAAGCAAAGATAAGCGGTAAAAGATGATGGAAACGAAGGTCGGGAGTGCGTTTTCATTTCTGATGGTTGTCGAGAAACGTGCAAGAAGAAGAAGGCGAAGTGGTTGGAAAGCCTCGGGTGGTGAGTGCCTGACGAAAAAGTGGAAGTAGGCGTCGGCTGGCAAAAGGGCTGCTCGGAAATGTATTCATCATACATTAACCAAAAATAAAACATTTTTATGAGATGACCGGATCCAGCGAAGTGCATTCTGGGAATGGTTATGGACATAAGCTTTCAGAATCAGTTTCTGTGTGGATGCTGAAGCACAGGCTAGTAAAATTATTCTACGTTGTCAGGCTAAGATAAAACCTAAACGGATTTTTGTCTTTAATTTAAACCTTTTTTCATTTATATTTAATTCAGTTGTATAAATACCTAGCAAGCACTATATACTGTCCTGGGTATGACGATAAACTACAACCGCGTCCAGAGTAAGACGATAAAATACGTCCAACAGCAAGGCCTCTGATCAGGAAGCTTTGAGGAGCGTGGAACCACCTCTTAATTGCTGGTGTTCCCAGATACACCCTGATCCGGGGTGGTAGCACATGTTAGGGTCCCAGCTATGGGCAAATAGTTAACCCCAAAACTGAGGTAAAAAGCATTATGAAAGTGTAAATCTGGGTTTTAATACGAGAAACACTTTGTAAAAAAATTATTACGAGAAATAAATTTAAAAAAAAAAAAAATTACCAGCAATAGATTTTTGACAAAACAAAATATTACCAGGAAAAAAAAAATTGTGAAAATTAAATGACCCATTGAGGTTGATATACTATAAAAATAAAAACAAAACACTATATATATATATATATTCTATATATATATATATATATAAAGAAAGAATATAGTTAAAGATCAAATATAGATCGGAATCCGACAGGTTGATAAGATAAAGAACTGATGGGAAACGTATATCAATCTTACAGGTTTCACTTTTTTTAAGGCTTCGTCTGAGAATGAGGAGAAAACTGAAAAAAAAATAGAACTTTGGTATTTTCAATTTTCTTTGGGTCGTTTCTCATTGGTCAGTCACGTATCACGTGCATTAAAACAGTAGATAATTGTCTATGTATGTAAGTTTGTAAAGCTTCTTGAATGTCTAAGCGGGCATCAGATGGTAATATGTATTCATAATTGTGTATGTGTGTTTGCCTTAAATCATATTTAGCATCACGTCTACAGTCACATTCTCACAGACGTTCTGTGGCTTCCCTCTGTCTTTTCTACAAGTATTTTCATGGCAACTGCTCTGACGAGCTACTGTCACTGGTTCCCAAACTGCATGAATTTAAACGTGCTACTAGGTTGGCATCTCGGTCCCACCCTTTCACTGTCGACACAGCTAAATATTTATGTACATTTGTTTAACACTTTACTTCCATTTTGTTTAGCACAGTTTAATTTCTTAAGTGCTCAAAATGTCCTCCTTCAACATTCCCCGAACCTCTCCAGAACGCTATGACACACAGCATGACACACATCCTGAACCGCATCAATTTCAATAAATACTTCTCAGATGTACTCTTAATTCATCCACTGTGTCAGGATTTTCTCTCATAAACCTTGTTCTTTACTACCCCCCCAAAAAATCCATTTCTATTACGTCAGTGACAATTCGATGTTGATCTTCTTCCGAACCAACGTTGTGGAAAGGCTTGGTTAAGGTAGTCCTTACTGGGAAGGTGTTCCAAGAGTTGAATAAATTAGATCTAAAATGTAAAGCAACCCACCATATATATATATATATATATATATATATATGTGTGTGTGTGTGTGTGTGTGTGTGTATGTATGTATGTATTTAGGCACAAATCCTTTTTTCAAGCACATTTCATTGAATAAGACAGACAAGGTGCTTTGATTTAGTTTTTTTTATACAATTTCTCATGCGATCTAATAATTTTTTTCTTTTCAGGTGATAAATTATATAAAAACTGTCCGAATGTTCTTTTCTTATCCGAGCGCTTTCGGCTTTACATTTAGCCATTTTCAAATACATTTCGTATTCGGCTTTACATTAGCCATTTTCAAATATATTAACTTAACAAGAAATAATTTGTTGCATGCATATATTTCATGTTTTCCTTTTCAAAACACGGTCAAAATATTGTGTCCATGTTGAAAGTTGATATTATTGTGTGTTGTTTTTTGGGGTTTTATATTATATATATATATATATATATATATATATATATATATATATATATATATATATATATATATTCATCGAGTCTAGAAGAAAAGATAAAACATATGCAGAAAGCACTGGACGGCCGTTTCGTCCTTTATTTGGGACTCATTAAATAAAATATAAAATGTTCCATTGGTAAAAGACAATGATCGATGAACGTTCAACCACGGAATTTGTTTCCATTTGTCAAATATTATATTAAGTTCAATTCGTTATTTCTTCGTCATCGAGGTCCGTCGGTTGATTTTCTATTCTTCGTCATATATATATATATATATATATATATATATATATATATATATATTTTTTTCAAAATATATTGCTGGTAATAATTTTTTACAAAAAGTATTTCTGGAATTAAACGCTATTTTTACACTTTCATAGTGTTTTGACCCCTGTTTGGGGGTTAACTATTTACCCATAGCTGGGACTAACTGGTGCTGCCAGTTAGGGTCCCACTCCGGATCAGGGTGGATATGGGAACACCAGCAATTAAGATGTGGTTCCATGCTTCTCCAAATCTCCTGATCAGAGGCCTTGCTGTTGGACGTAGTTTAACGTCTTACCCAGGACGACGGGATACTCTGAACACAAGAATGAATAAACTTAAGGTATGTTTCGTTCTATATTTTTTTATTTTTTATTTCTTTTCTTTTCAATATTTTGATTTCATTATAATATTTTTTTCGAACTTTGTATATAGTGCGCTTACAATTATTGCTAGGATTTCAAAAATAACAGACTTCAAAAAGTTTGAGAACCACTGCTATAAAACAATGATTTTATGTCAACCATTCAAGATTGTAACTATAGAGATATGGGGCCTACCATATATTAAAATCGAGCGTATGATTTACCCACAAGAAGATTAATAATGACGCGGAAGCACACGGTTAATTTTAACAAAACAAGATAAGGAATTTACGAATTCACACGTTTGAATTGGTGCCAGTAGATCATTTCAGGAAAATAAATCAGAATTCTTCAAGTTTTAACGTATTGTCATGAAGAGGAAATGTTCATACAACAGATTAAATGATTTGACAGAAAATAATATTCAAAAATAGACGAAGATAGTTTGAAATACTTAGCTTTCTTGGACTGAAAGTACATTTTTGAAGCACCGCATGCTTGATTAGAGGCCAATAGTATAATTGGCGAGTAATTTTACACTAGCAAGAACTTCAACGCAAGTCGCGAGGAACTGAACCGAAATCAGTCACATGACTTCAGACAGTCTTCATTCCTTAATTTTTCTCCTCATTTATATATAAAAAAAAGCATTTCGCATAGGCTCGCTTCTTTTCTTACTTCTTGGCTGACCGGCGACTTTCTAGTGAGGCAAGGTTTTTATAAGTTCAAAGAAAATTTCACATGGGCTTGCGAATTCCTTTTCCTTTCTTTCTTCCGAATTTGAAGGTGAACGGAGTTACTGTTTCGCTCTCACTACATAATTCCCAAGAATACATACCACTTAGACAATATCGTTCTGACGAACAAATTTGCATTCAAATAGTTTTAGTATTAATACAGGCAGACATTAGATTTTATAGTTATAAAAGCAGAACTGATCACTAACATGATTTCAGAAATATTTTCCCAACATCGAGATGCCTAATCATCGACTTAAAATTTGTTTTTTAATAATGCAAGAGTCATGGAATCAATTTTTTTAACTCGGCGTACATGAAAAACAATTTCATTCGTTTTTGCTTTGTCTTGTGAATTTTAATGGCTTCCTTAAATAATGAAAACGAGGCTAAACCTGACGCCATTTGTATGCCGGCCGACCAGGTTGTCTATCGAAGCATTGTAACTCGCAGCTGAAATTGTATAACGTTTGACTTGCGGTGAATGCCAACCAGTTTAAGAATTTTTCATTGTGTTAATTCTACCGCTGGAAATAAATTTCTTATTTTGGGAATTGTGCACAATAAACACTCGATTCTAAAATTGTATCCTTTCATGTTACGAGAGAGACGAGCTATGTACTCCGAAAATGAAGAACAACAAATTCAAAACGACAAAGCATATTTCTTTATCTCCTTCCAAGAGCAAATATGACAAGGTCAAATTTAAAAGGCGGCTACTGTCATACTGACATGCAGAATCCAGTTAGGCAAACTTAATCCACGGCCGAAAACTAAAACTGCTGGGTTTTATACGCTTTTCCATTTGGAACGCTCAAGATATTAGAGATTGTATAGTGAGTTGATGTAGTTCACGGTTATCTTATGATAACGTCGTATCTCACTATATATTTTATAGGTTTGGGTATAGGTAGAAAGAACAACAGTGAATTAATATAAGCAAAATAATTTTTATATAACACACACACTATTTGCACCAATGAAAAATGCATATATAAAAGAAAAATGCGAAATATAAACAGTCAATCGCTGAAATCCCCTGGCGAGTGAACGGAGTGATTGCTGGAGGGTCTATGTACGAAACTCTGGAGTCGGGATGCTGAAGGTAACACCCATCAGCTAAGTTACCAAATTCATATTTGTATCAATTTACATTATATATATTTTAGGATATTCTACGGAAAATGTTTTCAGTATGATATGCTAAAATAAATAATACTGTTCTACTCTGTACTAAGCCTTCTTTTAAATTAAATTTTAAAACGTCGAAATTGTCCTCTATTCGTTCTCATCGCACCTGGAGATATAATTTTAAACCTCTAACCTTATAGATAAAAATAATTCACCTCCTAGAACAAAATTAAATAGGTCAGATATTATTTACGAATTTAAATGCCCATTAAGGAATTGTATTCCTGATCAATTAAAATTCGTAAATAATTATATACGCCACACTACAATATGTTTGACACGCAGACTCACTCTACACCTTTTTGAAAATAGCTCAATTAGATCTCATTTGAATATTCATGGAGACCTACCGGACATTATTCGTAACATACTTGTTGACAACACTAATATAATAGCATCATCTACATGCAAAGAAAGGC